AGCATTCCTTGTATCAATATTTAATTTCACAATTGTAATTAAACAATTAATTGTTGGTGGGAGATTTGGGTTGCTTTCCATTTTGGATTGTGCTGCCATGAGCATTCTTGTATGCCTTTGGCTAAGCATAAACACATCTTTCTGTTGGGTTTTTATTTTAGGAATAGAATTTCTGAGGATAAAGTATATATTTTATTAGCTTTTAGATACTGGCAAAGTTTTCCAAAAGTGATTGCACCCAGTTCATATCCTCACCAGCAGTGAATGAGAGTTCCAGTGTTTTCACATCCCTATCAGCATCTGGTACTATTGGGTTTCATTTAGGCAAGAAGGTCACAGATGTGTGTGAAATCTCATGGTGATTCTAATTTGCGTGTCCCCATGACCAAAAGGTTGAGCATGCATATGTTTACATCGTATTTCCTCTGTGATGAAATTATAAACATAGATTCTTTTTCTTATTATTACACACTGCTTTGGACTCAACAGACAGCTACCAAAGCCTCCTTGAGACTAACATTCACCTCTGATATGCTGGTAGCATCTTAGAAGGCAATATGGAGGCTCTGAATGGGACTGTGTGCACTTGAGTGTTTTGGAAATTGTAAATCTCTGTCAAAGGCCTAATTATCATCATTGAAAGCGTTCATGCAAAAACACACACACACACACACACACACAAAGAAATGGCACTTTTATTTCAGGTCTGCTTCCACAGGGTGGGCATAAAGTGCAGAATGGAGATCAAAGTCTTTCTGACTCATCCCATTTATGCTACCATAGCACTTCATGAAGGCCCCTCCGCTTATTACAATATTGTGGTTACTTACTCATTTATCTCTTCTCCTGTATTTGACAGGGAAAATTTCATTCATTTTTCAAGGTTCGTTTTATTTATTTGAAAAACAGAGTGACAGAGAGGGAGAGACAGAGGAAGTGAGTGAGAGAGATCTTCCATCTGCTTGTTCATTCCCCAAAAGGCTGCAACAGCTGGGGCTGAGCTAGGCTGAAGCCAGGGGCCTCACACTCCAGATCTCCCACTAGGATGGCAGAGGACCAAGCACTTGGGCCATCTTCTGCTTCTGTCCCAGGTGCATTAGCAAGGAGCTGGATTTGCAGCTGAGCAACCAGGACTCCAACTGGTCTCAAATATAGGATGTTGGCGTCACAGGTGGTGGCTGAACCTGCTGTGCCACAGTGCCTCATTCATTTTCTGGGGAGTGATGCAAACTGGCTTTGGCCACAGGCAGTTCTCAGGAAAGCCACCCTCAACAGGACAGGTCCTCCTTCTGAAAGTTCCCATAGCTTCCTGTTGTCTTAGTTCTTAATCAGATTTGCAATTTGATGCTTTGCATTTTCCTGTAGAATAAAAGCTCCTGGAAACCAGGGTCCTATCCTTTTTATTTACTATTCTATCTATGTGTTAACCAGTACTGATTAATAAATTAATTAATAAATTTTAGTTAATGGATAACTGAAACAACTAGGATATTCAACCTTGATCTATGGCATATTAGCTGTGTGAACTAATGTTATGGGAAAACAGTGGCGGAGAAATTATTTACTATTACCTAGATTTTTTGTCTCACATGGAAGAATTTCCAAGCAGACGAGCAGAGAGATTTAAAAATATTTATTATAGTAAAGACCTCCAGCCAGAGTGTCATGGAGGGGGGCTTCCAAGAGAGGAAAAAACCCAAAGGGGCTCGTGGTAGTGGGGTTTTTAAGTACAATTTGAAAGGAAAAAACTTGACAATCAGATTGGTGTTCAGTTACCAGGCGGGGACAAAACCCATCAAAAGACCTGTCTGGCTTGCTCATGATAAAACAAAAAACCATCCAGAAGGGTGGGATAGGTAACTTGTTTTCACTATAAGCTGCGAGCTCAAGAAGAGCTCCTTAGCTATTCTCATGGTAAATTTGGAGATTCTGAAGGAAGGAGGGCAGCCTGTTTGTTTTTGCTAAAGTTAACCTTTTGGGGAAGGACTTGGCAGAGTATAAGATGAGCTTTTGCTTCTGAAAATCATGGTCTTGATACAGAGCTTTACACATGAGATTTTGGTAAAGCTAAGAGGTTACCGACAACTGCACAGCATGCACTGAGTCAAACCTTGGAAGGTGTGGCTAGGACAGTGCACACCTGAACAGAATCTGCAAGTTCAGGGAGCAAAGAGTAGGTATATTCTTATGCTTTATTGTGCATATGAATCATCTGATGAGCTTGTCCAAATGGAGCTTCTGGTTTTTGCAAGCCTGAGTGATGGAAGGGGTCCCATTTTTATATTCCTACTAAGCTTCCTAGAGATGGCGATGTTGTCAGTTTGTGGACCACATTTTGAGACTCAAGGGTCTAGGCTGGGAGAATGCCAAGAGCAAAGAGATCTGAGAGCTGGTCATATTCACAGGACAATAAGGCAATGCTTAGAGCAGTTAAGAAATATGTGCGGGGCCGGCGCTGTGGCATAGTGGGTAAAGCCGCCAGTTCAAGTCCCAGCTGCTCCACTTCCAATCCCGCTCTCTGCTATGGCCTGGGAAAGCAGTAGAAGATGGCCCAAGGCCTTAGGCCCCTGCACCCACGTGGGAGACCCGGAAGAAGACTTTGGCTCCTGGTTTTGGATCGGTGCAGCTCTAGCCGTTGCGGCCAACTGGAGAGTGAACCAGCAGATGGAAGACCTTTCTCTCTCTGTGTAACTCTGGCTTTCAAATAAATAAATAAATCTTTAAAAAAAGAAAGAAATGTGTGCAAGGGCACATCACATAGGCACTAAGTGGCAGAGCCAATGCAGCATCCATGTCTCTTTCTGCCATATTTTACCTCATCACAAGTGCTCAGATGCTGAGGTGCAGGTACAGTTGTTTGTTAAGTCCTCATGACATGGGGTTGTTTCTGCTTGGAAGTAGCTTAGTCTGCAAAGAACTTGGAGGACAAGTCTTAGGGATGGACCTGGGGACTGGCAGCAAGAGCCTTGAGTTCTGCTGTGACCAGTTCTTCCATTCCCCCTGGACCATCCCAACCCCATCCCTTACCCCAGCAAGAGTTATTTTCTCACTCTGGATCTTTGTCCCTTTGACTTGAAATGAAAAATCTGGATGCCAGCCTTGGAAAATCTTCCTAGCTGCATCTTGGAGCCCAAGAGTACATGGCCAGTTTTAGAAAGAAATTGCTGGGGCTGGCACTGTGGCCTAGCAGGTAAAACGGGCACTGGTTCAAATCCTGGCTACTCCACTTCTGATCCAGCTCTCTGCTGTGGCCTGGGAAAGCAGTAGAACATGGCCCAGATCTTTGGGCCCCTGCACCCATGTAGGAGACCCGGAAGAAGCTCCTGGCTCCTGGCTTTGGATCAGCACAGCTCTGGCCATTGCGGCCATCTGAGGAGTGAACCAGCAGATCCAGTAGATGGAAGACCTCTTTCTCTCTGTGCCTCTACCTGTCTGTAACTCTGCCTTTCAAATAAATAAATAGATCTTAATAAGGAAGGAAAGAAGGAAGGAAGGAAGGAAGGAAGGAAGGAAGGAAGGAAGGAAGGAAGGAAGGAAGGAAGGAATCACTGGGCTAGTGTGGATCCACCTGGGTGGATCTGCTCTGATAGCAGCAACAGATTGGTCTTGGTGGCCTTGAAACCTAATGGCGCTGACCCATCTGAAGCTTGAAATTGCTTGGGAGCCATCACTCCATTTGTTTGCTGTCACATTCTCCCTTTTGGACTAGGAGTGTCTATCAGTGTTATCCTATGCCTGTCTCATACTGACATTTCGGGAGTGGATCATTTGCTTCTTGAGTTTTACAGGTTCACAAATGGAGAGTTTCATCCTTGACCAACTGAGATGGTTTGGTTTAGATGATGAGACTTGGGATGTTTGAGTTTGAAGATTTAGATGAGATTTTGGATTTCCAGTTGATACTATAATGTATTGATCCTTTGGATGACATTGGGATTGGATTGAATCTATTTTCTGTGTAGGATAGATGTGAATCTTTGGGGGCCAAAGAGTGAACTGTGGTAATCAGAATAATGGTTCCCCAAAGACTTCCACATCCTAATCCCTGGAATCTGTCAATGTAAAGTGACATGGCAAAGGGGAATTAAGGCAGCAGATGGAACTAAATTTGCTACCCAGCTGACTTTAAATAGGTAGACTACTCTAGATTATTCACGTGGCCCCATGTAATCACCAGGGCCATTAAGTGTGGAAAGGATGACAGAAGAGGAGGACCAGAGACAGCAGAGTGAGAAGGACTTTGCTCAGTGCTGCCGACTTAGGAAGTGGAGTTAGAGGGGCACAAGGCAAGGGTGCAGGTGGTGTGCAAAGCCTGGCAACGGCGGGCTTTCAGGCCACTAAGATTGCTGTTATTTGTTGCAGCAGCCACAGGAAATCGATAAAAGACCTGTCCTGTGATTGACTGTTCTAGGATCTTAGACAAATAGTTTCACCTTTGCATTTCTTGATATTACATATATTCAACACAAGAACTGTCGTGAGGATAAAAACGAATAGAACTGCTGGGTACACAAGTGCCTGGTAAATGTGAATGTCCAGCTTCCCCTTTGTTTCTAGTTTGGGGAAACATAAGGGAGGAAACAGGAGCCACGTGCCACTCTCAGTGGTCCCTCCTCATCCTGACGCGGGCTGTGCACAGGACTCCCTCGTGAACTCCTCAAGCCCTCCTTATCTGGAGCACTGGTCCTTCATCTGCATTTGGGAGACCCACAGCTCCTACCAACCTGATGAAATCCCCCTGTAGAATACGAAGCTCTTTGGAGGAGCCTGAGACGAGCATAGAGCCTGAGCCTCACTGTGCAAACAGGCTTTCAGAAATGAAAGAGCAGCTGAACCGTCAGCGTCTACACCATGGCTCCCAGATTTCCCAGGGAAAGAGTCAAGAGGCGGTGTCCCGAGCCCAGACAAGCCCATTCAAAGAGGCCGGCCCCCCAACCCCCTCCCCTCCCACACACCCCACACAGAAATACCTCAAACACTTCAGGCTTGCGACTCCTTAATTAGTTGTGTTATGAGCTTTTATTTAAAAAGCACATTTAATACAGGTATAGTTTCGCAGATACAAGTTTTCACTTTGTATGCTACAAAAGTCTTTGAATATTATTCTCTTTACAAAATGGAACCTTACAAAAATACTGACAATTTAATGTTTTTATACAGTTTTCTCTAGTTGCAGTTATTTCTTTCATTGTAAAACAATGTCTACCACAGAACTACATTTTAGTTGATATTAAAGAAAAAAATTAACTCAATGCTTTTTTAAGCAGCTAATGTAAATAACACAGGTCGAGACACAGTTTATAATCATAGTGGATATAGCTAGAATTGTTTCAGAAATAATATTTTACATAGTTAACTTTTAATGTTTTATACATTATTTATATAATATTTATATATAAAAATCATAGCTTGCTATACGTTGAAATGAAAGGACGGATTCCGGAGTAAGGATGTGCATGTGGTTGATCCATGTGGTTACTTGTAGCCCTTTGAAAGGTTTGCATCCAAGATCTAAAGGCATTTCTTCCTTCTTCATTTCCTCAAAGGTTCAGTAGAAGGGGTCCCCGTCTACTGCCTGAGCGAGACCTTGCTTGGAAGGACACTTAACGGGTAGAGAATGAGGAAAAGTCTCTGCGGAGATTTAACCCCTGTGTTCTGCCCAGCAGAACCAACCAAGAACTGCCCCAGGGGTCAACCCTAAGACAATAGTGCTTTACACAGCTTAGCAGGAGCAAGTCCCACAAGGCCCTCGCAGCTCCCACATCTTGAAGGGCAGCCTCTCAGGCATGAGACAGTCTGCTATTCGGGCTCCTTCTGACTCTGAGCAGCCAAAAGGTTGGTTCAGTTTTTCATTCTGCCTCCTGCCGCCTTCCCCCATTTGTTGTACAGAAAGCTGCTGGTGGCAGCCCGTGCCTCTGCTCATCTCTGAACCCTCCCAGGAAGTCCTGGTGGGCACACAGCAAGGATTGAGGGAGATGCAGTAACACCAAGTCTAACCGGTTCTAAAAATGTGCAAGTGCCTGGCGACTGACATATACAAAATCGGCATCCTGCTGCTGACATTTCAACATCACAGGATACTGTGTCAAAAGAAGGCAAATGAGGGCCCGAGTCCTTGATTTCTTCTGAAATTGTGCTATTTGCAAAGTTCATTCATCCACAAAGAGTCTCCTAATCTGTAACTGAGGAATTGTGGCTGCCGGCCTGGGGAGAGGCCGGGTGGAGGTGATAAGGCCTTAGAAAGGGGGAGTTGGAAACTGGAGATCTGATCACTTGACTGAGCCAATGTGCCCTTGTTTTATGATCAAAAAACAAAACATCTTGAACCAAAGTCACAGTAGAGGAGAGAGTGGGATTGACAGAGAGGCCCACAAGGGGAGACCCTCCCCCGACAGGCTAGCTTCTCTATTCAGTGCTATTTCTGGTTTGGTGTGCTACAATGTGAATTCGCGCTGTACGGCACAGGCCTGGGATTCCTCGGGTCACAAAAGGTGACCAGCAGACTCGACTCGAATGGTTTCAGTGTGTACTCCTAAACCAGCCTGTGTTCACTAGAACATGAACACCTCCAGGATGCTGGTGCATGGGATTTGTTGGCTGTTGTTTCCGCACAGGTGAACACTACCTATTTTGAAGGCCACAAAGTAAGACTCTTTTTTCTTTTTTTTTTTTCCTTTCTAAAAAAATCAAGTTGGGCAAAAAGTTTTTCCCTACATTCTACTGTCTGATGAGATCGGAGAGCAGCAAGAACTTGCTCTCAGCAGTCATTTTACAAAAACAGCTGAGGAGGAGGCAGCACCTACACCATGTTGTGGTGATTGTTCCTGTCAATGATATCCACAGGGGACAGGATCTCCTTCCTGATGGCGGTGGGAGGCAGGGACAGCGTCGTCTTGCTCTTGAAGAGGTCGGACACAAAGAAAACCTAGAAGCACAAATCAGAGATTCAGATCAGTAACCGACATCTGGAGCTGGGGAACAGGCAAAGACAAGGGGAGGTCAGAGGACTCAGACTCAGGGAACGGGAGCTCCAAATCACAGAACTTTAAGCAGGGAAGAGATCATATAGTCCACCTCTTAGGGAACTGATGCAGAAACTAAGTCCCAGAGAAGGATGGTGACACGCCCCAGGTTGCACAGCAGTGGTAGGAGTAGAACCCAGCTTTGTGGACTCAGTGCAGTGCTCCCTATCCACAACCCATACTTCCTTATTTCTCAAGGCAAAGTAGCAATGACAGCTAAGTTCCTAAACAAAGGAAGTCAGTCATACCTAGTCACAGTCATTAATCTGCTCTGCTTTTCCTTTCTTCCCAAAGGAATCCAGGGTGTAACCAAAAAAGATCAGGCAATATGAAGGCCTACCAGCAAGACTGAGTCAGGAGCAGTGGTGAATATTTTTTTCTGGAAATCCAACAGTATCAACCATTTGATGGGAGGTGAAGAGACCAGGGTCTGGGGCTGGTGCTGTGGTATAATAGCTTAAGCATCTGCCTGCAGTACTGGCATCCCATATGGGTGCAGGTTCGAGTCCTGGCTGCTCCCCTTCCAATCCAGCTCTTTGCTATGGCCTGGGAAAGCAGTGAATGGCCCAAGTATTTGGCCCAAGTATTTGTACCCAAGTGGGAGACCTGGAAGAAGCTCCCGGCTCCAGGCTTCAGATCCACCCAGCTCCAGCCACTGTGGCCATTTGGGGAGTGAACCAATGGCTGTAAGACAGCTCTCTCTTTCTCTTCTTCTGTCTGTAACTCTGCCTCTCAAGTAATTAAATAAATCTTTAAAAAAAAAAAAAAAAACTAGGGTCTCACTGCTGAGGGAGTCAGCAACTTACCCAAAGGCAAGGTCAATGGAAAGTCTCCCATCACTCATCCCCAGCATCCTTCCACCTCCTGGACACAGGACCCCACTAAGTGTCTCTTAGAATCAGGAGAGACATTCATTGGATAGATACCCTTGCAACAGTATGAGGATAGCTCAGATATAATTCCTGTCTCAATGAGCTTATGATGAAAGATTCAAGAACTTGAAGCACTACCCAAGTAAGAAACATTCATGCTTTGTATTGGATGGAAAAATAAGCCCACACTTTGCTTTATCTCCCCCAGTTGCCTTCTGTCCTACTCTAAGTTATCCTACTGATGTTATCACCTGACAGGTGTAGAAACAATGTCCTTATCGTCACCTAAAAATGATCCTCCCTTTCATCCTTCCCTTTGTCTCCAGGAAGATTTTGATCAATCCCTCCCCATCCCTGGCTCTCGATTCCACTTATTCCAGTTTGGCTAGATGCCTGAAATAAGGGCACTTACAGCCTTAATTTCTTCGAGATCCTTCTCCCAGATTCCATTACACCTGCCAAGAGCAAGACAATCTCCCATCCCCACCAAACACCTTCTCCTTCAAGATCCTAAACACCTACCACCTCCATCAGCTGGATTATTTCCAATGTAATTTTGTGGGCTCATAATCACTACACATTAGGGTACCCATTTCCAAACTAACTACAAGATAGAAATAATATGAAGGCTAAAGGTAATAATGGACTTGAGAGACTGAAACCTGTGTCTGGTACATGGTTCAGCTAAAGGCACTCCTTTTTCTAATGCTCTGGACATCAAAGAAATTACTAGACCCAGGTAAATCATGCTTTCTCACATCTTGTAAACTTTGCTTATTGCCCTTTCTTCCTGCTTGGTTTCTGGAGGACAGAGCTGTAACCCTCATCAACCCACAGACAGCCTTGAGTCTTGCACACCTCAGGGGCTCCATAAAAGTTTGTTGTTGAATTTCTAAAACTCTCTTTACTTCCTAGGAAGTAGGCAGTCTCATCTTGGATCTCATTGAGATACCCAATTCCTATAGACCTCAGGGCAACCCTATACTCAAACACCACGTGCACGTAGCCTGGCGGCAAGATCAAGAATTGAGTCAGCTGCGTTTTGCTTTCAGCATGGCTTGAAGTTACACAAACATGTTTTTTGGAATCCTGAAACATGATCCTTTCAAGACTCATATAGGGCTCAATCTCCCTGATGCTTGAACAGCAGACACAGAAAGGACTAGGAAAACTGGCAACTCCCTGATTTGGAGCAGAAAGAAAGTTCCCTTTCTTCCAGAAGAGGATATCCACCCAGATTGGAAACACAAGCGCCCAGGCTGGGGAGGTTCAGTACAAATTAAAGTAACCATTTTTCATCTATGGAACAAACCCATTCCCCTCCCATAGTCCCACTCCACAGATCCTCTCTGCCAGATGAATGAATGAATGAATAATAATAAAATAACAGTCTGCGCAACAAGAAGAATCTAAGTTGCACTGCTTAGAGCATTCGCTTTCAATTCTATTTCTCCAGTTCCTTATTTATAAAACTGCTTGTTTTGAAAATGTATGAATGCAATCAGGAGACTAGAAGACAGAGTCCTTTTTCCTCCAGGAGCTTACAGGCCAATGAGGGAGAGAGCCACATAAAAAGACCACGAGGACACAGAGTGTGAAGCTACATGACAGAGGAGATACGCAGAAAATGTAGCGTGTAAGTCAGAAGGATGGATGAAGAGCGGGCCTTACACGCCTTCCCCCAAGAGATCTATATGTGGGCTTGGCTTTGAAGGATAAGAAGTTAGCCAGATGGTAAATGCCATGAGTAGTGCTTCAAGAAGGGAGCAGATGGTAAAGACCTGGGAGAGAGAGACCACTGCATGTTCAGGGACTGCGGGAAGCTCCTGTGCGGCTGCAGAGGACATGGCCAGATCACGCAAAGCCTCCTGGGACGTGGTAAGCAGTTCAGACCTCCTCCCTCCAGTGCTAGGAATAATCGCCAAAGCTTAAGAAGAGAAACACCATGTTGGAAACACCTGCATTAAGGTGACAATGGTATGTAAACTACAGAAAAGGCACAGTGAGCTTCAAGGTGGGACTGCAGAGCCTGGGAGGGATGAGTCCTGAATGACAGCCATACTGGGAAGACAGAGAAGGTGCTGGGGACAGGACTGAAGCTGTTTGAGGGGGAGAGTTGTGTGTGCACAGCGGGGCTTTTCCTTCTAGTCCAGTTTGCAGCTCTGGGAACCTTTGCATTGGTTCCCATAAAAACTCTTACAATTTGGGTAAACTATTCCAGGAAAAAAAACGATAGCTCTGCCTTCTTCTGTTTTGGCTGCTTCTGATAGTGTCTTGGGGGGAAACGATTCTGATCTCCTGCTGAGTCAGAGTGACCGGCTATGCTGTGCTCCGAAGGCGGAAGAGGACCTGGGCAATGCCACCCTGCCTTCAGAGCAAGACTACACGCAAATCAGGTACCGAGCAGCTACAGGAACAGCACATGCCTTAATGAGGAGGTATACAAGTGGTGGCTATTGTTGCTGTTCCGGCAACACCTTATTGCCATCTCCCACTCTCCATTCAACACCCGCGGTGGTAGGAGGAAGGTTTGCTCTTTAGAGTAGGGCAGACTTGTCTCCACATCCAAATGTTGCCATTTTCAGTAAAACACATAGGTGCAAGGGATGACACCTTTCCCAAGGGATTATTTCAAGGATTATGAGGGGGAATAAAAGGCACAACGATGGCACAGTGCCTGGAGCCCAGGGAGAGGTAACTAAGAGTCACACCACTGACTTGTGTGCTCAGGGCCTGCCTGCACAAAATCACTGTTCCTGTGCCCCTTATGTGGAAAGAGAAGAGGAGAAAGAATCAGAGAGAGAGAGAAAAATTGGAGAGGGCAAAATCGAAGGGTTGAGGATGTGAATGAATGTGTAGAAGCCGACACCACCTCAGGCTGGATACAGAGGCCGTGCGGATGCTCACACAGGGCACTGAGGGTCCGCTTCCCGGATCCTACCACTTCTGGGTTGGTTTTGGGAATGAGTCAGCACACCGGGAAAGGAAGATGCGTGTGATGTCTTCCTGCCAGTATTCCTGTGCTCCAGAGATGCCCGTCTGCCTTGCAGCACTCACAGCTCGCTTGCTGCTGCCGGGCGGCTGCCTGGAACGATGCTTCAAGCACCCAGAGGCCAGAAGCGAGAACCCTGGTCAGAAGCCAGGCTTCCTCTTTCTTTGTGGTGAGTGGCCAACTCAGCAGGTTTTGAGGGTCATTTTGTTAAGGGCAGATTATGACAGCAAAATTGTCCTTCAAACGTTTCTTTGGACACTGAGTGTTTCAACTTGTGAGTGTGTGTAAGCGAATGCTTTGGAGATAGGAATCATGCCCGCTGAGGTTTCCATAAGCACCTGTTACACTTAGATGCCAGCACAGGGCAGATAACCATAAAAGCAAAGGCATGAAGGATCTCAGAGGCAGGAGAGTCCTGACAGCAGTCTATTCCAGCATTTCCCAAAATGCAGTCCTCAAGTTATCTGCTTCCAAATCACCTGGGTGTTTCCTGCAAAAGCAAATTCCTGGGCCCACTCCAAGCCTACTGAGTGTGTCCTAACATCCACATCTGAAAAAACACTACAGGTGTTTGTTATGCAGAAGCACTGGGAGGCAGTCTGGAGATGAACAGACGGGCTCACCTGCTAGCTGTGTGCCTTGGATAACTTGTCATTTTTCTGAGAGCAGCTCCTTTGCACCCTGGGCATCGGGACACCTTCCTTGAGCAGCCCTTACTCCCTCTTTCTGGTACCCATACTGAACTTTTAATGACCTTCCGTCTTTGCATTAGGCCATAGGCTTTGATGCGTGATGTTTTAAATGCCAGATCATGTTTCCTCTTGCTACTGCAGGGCATGGATCATGTTGAGTCATCTCTCTGCTCACAGCCCAGAAATTACAGGTCTCAGTAAAGCTGGTGCACCCTCCGTGCGTGTATGGAGACCACGGCTGCCTCTCCTGTTGCACATGCTCTTGTGTGTCTCAGCCTTGGGATTTCCTTTTGGTTTCCTGGTCTACCATACTGAACAATCTCACAGATTAAGGGAAGAATAACTTT